GGGGCCCACGAGGCAGGGGGCGCGCCTAGGGGGGGGGGGTAGGGCGCACCCCCACCCTCGTGGATGGTGGGTGTTCCCCATCTGGTACTTCTTTCGCCCAATATTTTTATATATTCTGAAACTTGCTCCCCGTGAAGTTTTAGGACTTTTGGAGTTGTGCAGAATAGGTCTCTAATATTTGCTCCTTTTCCAGGCCAGAATTCCACCTGCCGGCATTCTCCCTCTTCATGTAAACCTTGTAAAATAAGAGAGAATAGGCATAAGTATTGTGACATAATGTGTAATAACATTCCATAATGCGATAAATATCGATATAAAAGCATGATGCAAAATGGACGTATCACCAAACTTTACCAATTTTTTTCCACAAGGTCGTGAGAGCACGCCACGGGCACACATCGATTTTGATGATGTCCGGACTCCATCTGAATTTCCTGTAATTAAAATACCAACTAGGCCTATGCCAGTGGCCGCACCTCACGGCCGAAATGTTTGAAACTTCTCCCCGCTTCTCCAACAAACGGATGAAAAATCTTGCCAATCCATTTAAAGGCATTGCATGTATCTAGTTTGGCCTTTGAGGGCCATACGAACTCAACAACATGTACCTCAACCACATTGCCCGTACTATCATTACCATATTAAACCATATGCATTTTAGAGCTACTGGATTTATACCTACGAATTTCTTTAAGTTGTTTTCTTCATCTCTTTTGAGCTAAAACTTTTTGTAGGACTTGGTTAGTACTTATAAACTTATAATCTTCTAACCTATTTCTAGTGTGAGTTTTTAAGCCATTAAGCACAAGATTTGTCAAACGTCTCCCAGTTATCACTAAGTTATAACATTGTTTTTATATCTTTAAATCTTTTGACATGATCAATGACCGATTCATCATGTTATTGGTTAATTGATGTAATATCTGATAAACCAAGCTCATTATCGTTGTTGCTTAAAAAATTATGATGAAATTTTTGTTCTAGTTGGGACCATATGAGAATAGGGCCGTGTGTAAAGCAACAAACCCTGAAAATGCCGAGAAAATTAAAGATAAAAGAAGTAAACACACTTTCAACTCATTAAGAAACACGCCTCACCTAATTGCACCAAATATTGGCTAGCATGATCCCATGTTTTTTTCATACCCTCACCATTAAACTTAACAAAATTGGGAACCTGATTACCGTAAGAATATGAAACTTTGAAATACCTTACTCATAGCCTCCCTAAGTTTAGCCAAAGCTTTGAATTTGCTAATCAAACGCACTTGTAGTGATGGCATAGGTGGGGCTAGACTACCAACCAAGGGTTCGGCCGAGTCCTAACCAAGCTCATGCGTAGAGGTGGAGTAGCTAAATCTTGGTTCAACATTGCCACCAGACCTGACACACTCATGATTGGACTCCAGATGCCACTGGTGGAGCTACGGCTAGACTTGTATTGTGAAGGGAAATTTTCTAGGGTCC